AAAAAGGGAACAATTAACAAATGGTTTCATTTTTCTTCTAATGCGGAAATAGAGCAATCGAGATGTGGAATGAATTATTAATGTATCGTAAGAATTACTCTGAAATTTTCAGTTTTGTATGCTAAAATGAAAGAGGCATTTTCCGTCTAAAACTAAAATTTAATTTTCAACGGCGAACTTTGTTACCGCGAAATCGATAATAGGTATGCTCTGTGCAAAGAAATATTCGTTGAATTATTAATATAAAAATCCTCATGCATACGCAAATCTTATTTTCTACGGGCTCACGCTGTTGCAATTTCTAACGGGAGGAACATAAGAAAAGTAATACCTACCAACAAAAAAAGTCCTTTACTTATTGAACGGAGAAAATCGAAATTGGTGATCAAATTTTATTCTCAATTGATCTAATCGAGAAACACATACGATCGCGTAAAAATACGGCGGGGAATCGATTTTTAAAAGTGTACGCGAACATTTTATCGCTAAATTTGCGAACAACTGGGTGATATGAACAAGATTCTCTATGAATTATAATTCAACCGTGAATATATGTAGCCTAGTATCATATCGAATGTATTGTAGGTTGTGACATGAAAATTGCGTTCGGATAATCCAAATTGTTAATGATACGCGAACAATAAACGTGTAGAAATCCGATAGAACTTGTTATAATTGGAGCGTTGTCTCGAAACGTTGAACATTCTGAAAATTGTTAATAGACATAGCGACATAGTATACACTATACGCTTTTATTGCAAATCCGTAAATCGATGCGTTATTATAGTATATCGCGCGCGGCGTCGCATCAAATAGACGAGAATGGACGAGATAAAATTCCACTAATAGGTTCGCACGGTGACGTTAATCATGAATTTCAAAATTAATTTCATATCACTATCAAATTATAATTATTGCGCAGCGATTATGCAATTCTTGAATATTCAATTACTTCATTATTTTATCCAAAAAGAATTAACTGCAGAAAATATAATCACTCGATATATTTAACAAATTTGTTTTTTTCTCTTTCTCTCTTTAGGAAACTTTTATGTATTTTAGATACAATATAAAATCGTATAAAAATATAAATATATCAATTTGTTTTTCTGTATCGCGATATGATTCAAGTAATGGCGTGTATTCTGCTTGAAGTGCTAAAAAAGAAACATAATGACATGATATTTAGCAGAAAGTTACGAAGTTAATTTACTGGACCAAGATAACAAAATATTGCGTCGTAAAAATTTTGTGGCAAAACTGCAACGCGCATGACCTACAAAAAAGATAGCATACACCATTATTCTTGATAACACTTTTTTTTAAGAGGTAACAAAATCTGAATATATCTTTTAATAAAATTTTAAAAGATGTGTAAAACGCGCGCGGAAATGACACGGGGTGAAAAAGAGAAAGGGAAGAAAAGGGGATGATGCTTTAATACCGAATGTCACACGGGCTGTCCATAATTCTTTCGTCAGGATCACAAATCAGTCAGAGGCAAGCGCGGAACATCGCATAAAATAAAGTGTGCACGGTCATAAATTTACCGAAATGGAGATGCTACATGCCGTTTTCGGACCGGATGCGGTACGTTCAACGGATGCAGATTGCGAGAGCTTTACGTATGTCGAAGCATCGATTTTTCGCTAACGAGCGAGCGCGCTGCAATTCCACAACGAGCACGTTAGGTGCATGTGCGCTAATCATTGAAAAAAATTGGATCCTTGCTAAGTTTTTTATCGAATTATTCACATTTCACTTACCATGTCCTCTCCACGTCAACTTCAAATTAATCTTTCATCTAACATTTTATTTTAACTAATTATCCACATGCATTTTCCGCAAAATGTAAATCTCTAAAAAATCAGTATATTTTACTATTTTTACACGGGAAGAATTTTTCGTTACATTTTACCGCAAAATTTACTACACATTTCATCATGTTTGGTAATAAGTCGAAAATTGCCATGCTGCATTGTAAAATTTATAAAATATAATGTTATCATTTTTTGGCATCTATTTTATTTAAAACATTTTAAAAATCATAAGTTTTTAATATATTTTAAAATTATTGAAATTTTTTTTACTATATTCTTTAATAAAGTTAATTAAACAATTATATTTTATTGTAGTAGATATATTAGTATTTTTTATTATTGTGATAAATATTAAAATTCTTCCAATACTATATTGTTCCTGATTTTCCTATGATTTTCAGGCTAAATTTGAAAAGAAAATTCTCTCCGTGTAAAAATATCGATTCGCTAATGGATAGGATAGATTTTAATCGAAAAATGTCATGTCATGCTGTATTGTAAAAATATTTTAATGTTTATCATTTTTGGCATCTATTCTATTTGAAACACTTAAAGAATCATAAGTTTTGAGTATATTTTTAAATGATTAAAATTGTATCTATATATTTTATTGTAGTAGATATTAATATTTTTTCTTATGATAAATATTAATCAGAGAAACTCTCATAAAAATTCTTCCAATACCTACTATATTATTCCACGACTGATTTTCCTATGATTTTCAGGCAAAATTTGAAAAGAAAATTCTCTCCGTGCAAAAACGACTCGCTAATAGATAGAAAAGATTTGAATCTCAAAACAAGCAATATTCTGATCGCTCTCCGTTCAATGATCATTCGAGGGCGAGGAATTGGATACGCAAGTGCGTACCGGTGAAATGTGTCTATTTAATATATCGCTGGCGCGCGTAATCGTAACGTCAGTTGCTCCGCGGGAGAGAGCTTAGCGAGAGAGAGAGAGATTCAATTGAAAATTTATCCGAGCCGTCTAATCCACTCGCGAACCGACTACCGATTGTACGTCGAATTTCAATGGCGGATCGCGCGCTCGCAATCTATCGAATTCCATGCGTGCACGTCGTTATTAACGTACCGAGTGAAGTACGTGAGAGCGCAACGCGCACGGGCTGCTGTCAGCCTCCTCTCGAAAAGGAGCAGTCGATCGATCAACGACAACGACGACGAGCATATTACAGATACAACTACTGACAGTGAATAGACTATGTACTTTCTGCACAATGGCCTATTATATTGCAAGTAAATGGATCGTTTTCAAGCACCGTGTCGATAATCAAATCGACGTATCTTCTATTTCGATGCTTGATCGATTGCAAATTACGATTAATCAGCAAAAAATGCGAGTGTTTAGTTATTCTTATGAATATCTTACCTGCATAAATATTCGTGAGTTATTTCTTATTTACGACTGCGAATTCCTTATTCTCTTTTATTATTTGTAATAAATCGCAAAAAATACGCGTATTTATTCATATAAATATCTTACCTTGATAAATATTCGTGAATTATTTCACGAATCATTCAATGTACAACTGGAAATTCTATATTCTCTTTTATTCTTTGTAATAACTATTCTCGATTCTTCTAATGATTTACTTTAATAATTTATGCATTGATGAGATAAATGCGATTTAATTTTTAAATGATAGAATTGTCATTAAAATATAGCATTGGTATGTTTTCTTTAGATCTGAAAAGATTATATTTTGTAATTCTATCTTTTTACACAGAGAAAATTTTTTCTTAGAATAATTTACCCTAAAAATCATGATAATCGTAGGACAATATGGTATTGGAAGAATTTTAGAGGAGTTTCTCTAATTAATATTTACAAAATAAAAAAATAAAATATTAATATTTATCACAATAAGAATATAAACTATGTTCGATTAATTTTACTATGTATATATTCATATTTTTTATTGTGATAAATATTTAATCAAAGAAACTCTTATCAAATTCTTCCATACTATATTATCCTTCAATTATCATAATTTTCAGGGTAAATTTTAAGAAAAAATTGTCTTCGTGTACGACTGGAAATTCCTGAGCTTTTTATTCTTTGTAATAATTATTTTCGATTTAAAATAATTACTTTAATGATTTGTACATTGAGATAAATACGATTTAATATTTAAATTACAGAGTTGTCATTAAAACATTGATATTCTTTCAGTTTTCTTTAGATGCAAAAAATATTATATTTTATAATTCAAATATTTTTGGCTTTCTAATTTATAATCTCTTTTCTTTTTTATATAACATCCATTCTAGCTATGTTAACTTTATTATTCAGTTGATAAATTAATAATTATAAGTTGCGGTAAATCAAACATAATGATAATAAAATAGGCATCTAAAATAATATATAAGAATATGCTAATAATACTTTTTCGATGCCAGGAGGGAGTTCATAAAGTTTTACCTTGTATAATCTCGGTATTCAAATGAGCTTCTTTGTGATCAAGATGTGTTGAAAAACAAACCAGTTGAAATTCTTCAATATACTGAATGAATCTGCTGTCAAATTCTTGCTAACATCTTGCTCGCTAAAAAATTAATTAATATCAATTATTATCAAGTAATAATCAGATACAATAAATTATAAATGTGATTGAGATTTTCAATTTTCTACTTTTCATATTTTAAATAAAAAATATATCGATACGAGAACTTCGATAGATACGTATCGATATAAAGAGAACTTCGATACTTAAGATACTTAAGAGAATAACTTCAAACTGATGATATTATAACCTTAATATTCAAATACATTAAAAATTCCATTTATAGGATAAATTATGAAAATATATCGAATAGCGATATTAACGATTAATTTTCCATAAATTACAAAAGTGGAAGACCAAATTTTATCCCAGAGAAATTTGCATCCAAAATGTTTGATTAAAATATTTGTGCGTGTAATTTTTTTGCTATTATAATTTTTACTATAATAATTTTATTAATTTATTCTGTATGCAATCATTTAACGAGCAATTTAAATGACCCAGGTTCAAGAACAATTAAACAGTATTGATAAGATATGCAATTTATATACGTACGATTAAAAGCAAGCTTGCGGTTCGTTTTATTCGTCTTATCCAAAATCGAATCAATATCGAACTGATGCGACCGATGGAATCGCTTGAAATTACTTCGTTGTATTGTCGCTGCGATGGCAGCACTGCATTACATTGTGCTAGGTTGGGATAGTCTCGCAATGTGTAAAGGAATTTAAAGCGAACGGTAAGCTTCTTTTTTATCGTACACACACACAAAATGCAGATTTTAATATTATTGTAAAATATACCTAAAATACAGGATAATTCATTTCTTTATATAATTATTATATGCATAGAGTAACTCTTAGTAGAAAGTTACATATAGATAACTTAACCTAAGTTAACCTAAAAATCCTTATGTTAGAATTTCTTTTAAGAATAAAACTTGAAATTTAATTATTTTTCTATATAATTTGTGAAAAAACTGATCGTTGTTTATTTATTCTTTTGATATATTTATAGGGTAATACATTTCTTTTCATGTATATTATCAAAGTTCTCTTCATTAAAAATCAGTTTCTAAAATATATATTACAAATCAATTTAAGTTAATAAACTTGAATAAAATTTGTGACACAAAATTATGACAGTATCTTGTAAGTAAAAATTCTTTTTTGTTTTGCAGATCTTGGCCAGCCCAAAGTTTAATTGGCAAGAAGAGGGATCGATATCTTCTTTATAATTTATCAGAAATACTGTGTGTGAAAAATGGGAACGGGTGAATGATTTAAATTCAATATTCTATATGGTAGGTTTTTTAGCATAAGTAAAATTAATGATTTTGTCTACAGATAGCCACCTTGAACAAAATCAAAGTATGCCAAAAGTTGACTTGTTAAAAGACGCAGAGAAACTCAAATTTACAGATTTAGTTTACATGAAACGCCTAGAGGAGCAAAATCTACAAAGAGCAAAGAGAGTACAAGGATATCGTAAATCCAATAATCGCTTAGCTATTGCCTTAGGCCTTGGAGTCATTGGGATTTATACGTACACAATATATTCGGTGAAACAGGAAAAATTCTTAGACGATTTTGAGGAGCCACAAAAAACGATCGAGAAACCTGAATAAAATACTTTGTTTTTGAATTTAAAAAATTCTAATTTCTTATAAACTTTGCATAAGTTTATATATAATAGAATATAGAGTTTATGAAGTGGATATTTTTCTTTTCAAAGATATTCTATAATTTATTCATTTACAAACACTGTGTTAATTTATAACACAAGATTAGTATTTGAAAATGTCTGCTCCACGATTGCCACCGCTTCCATCTATTCGAGAAATATTAAAACTGTACCGATTAAATGCCGTGAAACGTTTGTCTCAAAATTTTCTTCTAAATCCAAATATTCTCGATAAAATCATTGCAAAATCAGGAAACCTCACCGGGAGCCAAGTATTAGAAGTCGGTCCTGGTCCAGGTGGATTAACTCGATCCATCTTAAGACGGGTTCCGAAACGATTAGTAGTTGTAGAAAAAGATACCAGATTTAAGCCGACTTTAGATATGTTAAAGGACTCATTTCAAGCGATTAATGGAAAAATGGACATAATATACGACGATATCATGAAAATAAATATGGAAGGTTTATTCCCAATGGAAGAAAAGGTAAATTGGGATAATAAAGCTCCGGATATCTATATCATAGGCAATTTACCGTTTAACGTATCGACACCTCTCATAATTAAATGGCTACACGCGATAGCCGAACGTCGCGGACCTTGGGCATATGGTAGAACGAAAATGACGTTGACGTTTCAAAAAGAGGTAGCGGAACGTTTGGTGGCTGAAGCCTCAGGCTACCAACGATGCAGATTATCGGTAATGGCACAAGCTTGGACGTTTCCGGTACTTCGTTTTATTATACCTGGTAATCCAGTGACTTGATCCTACGTATTTACACATAAATTCATTTTACGAATTTTATCTTTATTTACGACTCCTAATTTGTAATTTGCAGGTAAAGAGTTTATTCCAAGACCAGATGTCGATGTGGGAGTAGTATCGTTTACGCCATTGGTCAAGCCACGCACGCAGCATGATTTCAAATTATTTGAAAAAATAACGAGGCACATATTCAGTTTTAGACAAAAGTACAGCATACGATGCATCGAGTAAGTTTGTTTTTTCCTCTAATTTATCTATTAGGATAATAAATAAAATTAAAACGAATAAAGTTTTTGTGTTATTTTCTGTTTTACAGGACTCTATTTCCATTGTATTGCCGCAAGGAGTTAGGTCTGATGATGTATAAATTGTCCGACTTGGATCCAACGATTAGGCCACGCAACTTACCGTAGATGACATCGATAGACTAACGACCGCCTATAAATACCTAGTGGAAAAACATCCGGAGCTCGCTTTATATGAGTATCGAGCGTCTCGCCATTTGTTAACAACAAGTAACACGAAAGACATTGAAGTTGAGGATTATATGGAAATGTCGGAAGAAATGACTACCTAACCGAACTGGTTCGCAACACAGACACACGCAAACGTATTATATTTAAATTTTATTAAATCGCAGATTTGTAATGCAGCAGACTAATTTGTTACAATAAATTTCGATTATATAATTGTGTGAAAACTTCTCTGTAAATATACATTTATATACATGTACGATACTATGGCTTAATTATTAAATAAAAATATAGTACAATGTACAGTTTGCATTTTTTTTCTTGTGTTAGACATAGTAATAAAAATACTGTTAATTATCTGGAAGAAAAGAATAATTGCAGAGGAGAGAAAAAAAGACGTACCTCTAGTTTTAAAAAAATTCTCAATACTCACTGATTGTGTACGAAATAGTTATTTATTCCGACATTCTCTCTCCTTTGATACTGCTGATTCACACGAAAATATTACTCTTCGATACTATTAATTTGCAAACCCTATTACCTCGGATCTAATAAAATCTATCCTAGTATTGTCGTTTTAATGCGCGATACTGCGATAAAAAGAATCGAAGATGGACAATAAACAGTAAAATAAGGATCTTAATATCCGTAAATAATCTGCGAAAGGAAAACGTTGTTACCCAATACACCGGTCAATATCACAGCTACTCGTTTTCTGAAGGATATAATTATAGATATTAAATAATTCTATGCATGTAATATATGTATACTTAGAATTATTCATTAGGAATCGATGGAATCGTGCGCGAACTCGGCGCCACGTAACATTCTAATTACAGTGACATAGGAAACTCAAGTTTCTGCAACGTACTGTAACAACCGAATGTAAGTGATTAATACCTGACTGAATTCGATGAGAACTAGACGTGTTGCTCATCGACAGTCGTGCGTCGACGAGCCGAGGAAATCCTTTGGTCCAGTGCGTTCTCTCTTTTTCTCTCTCCAAAAATTATTATTTATTTACCTGGAGATCATGTACACGAATTCTTGTAATTGCTTAGGATGTCTTGTGCCGTTGGAAGTACTCTATCTTTAATGTCGCGTACACATTTGTTACATCTAAGTTTCTTTCTTTTTCATTAATTTCTTGCTACACCGCAGATCATGATGTTGGGTAGAGCCCCTCGACGTTTACGCCAAGCACCGAGGGACTGTGCGTGAGCCTGCAACGTTCTGCACCATCTTTTTGTTCTTGCGCCATCCTCTGCCTGTAATAATGCGTATTAATTAATTTGCTATTTTTATTTTTATCTTAGTGATAATTTTTTGCTTACGCATAAGTATCTTACTTTAAATATAAACGTCTCCTTGGAAGATAATTCCTGTATTTCGAAATAATCTTCGAGATCCGTTTCACAGCACACTATACATTTATCGAGGTATAGTGGCTCCTGGAATAATGATAAAGAATGTAGATCCCTCATTATTAATTAATCATAAAACGATTGCAAAAAAAATCCGACGTGAAATATACAATGACTTACACGTAGTAAAGAATATCGTCCAAGTTTCTCTTTGACCAGAAGTAAAGTAGCTTCTTTAATACCTATATGCTTCGGAAAGAGCGACTCGTCGTTAAATTCAGGATAATCGGCATTCGGCTGAAAATATGCGAATTTTATTTATCTTGTTACAAAATTAGACAAAATTAATAATATATATATACCTTGCCGTTTGTAACAAGCATGGCAGTGACAGGTGCAAGTTTGACAGTTCGACCACGTCTCCAATTATTATCAGTCGGCTGTGCTACTAAAAGACGTCCTTCGAGAACAAACCTAGCTTCCTCGTGAGCCCATTCCAAAATCTCGACAGCCATCTAACATAAATATTATTTTATATTACCTATTTATATTTTTTATATTTTATTTTATATTACAAATTATTGTATATATATTATATTTTTTATTATAATAGTGAATGACTACAAACATCTCACGCATAATTAAAAAACAATTTTTTAATTGTTTCAGAATTAAATACATAAAATAAAAAAATTTAATGTTAGTACCTTCCTCAATTTGATATTGACCATATCCTGTTCGCCGATAGACCGTCTGCCATTTTGAATAATCGATATTCTCCTCCATAATTTCGTCGACGTAACATCTTTCGCCTCCTATTAATTAAATAAATAAATTAATATTAATATATAACTTTTCATGAAATTAATTTTTTGCAACATATTATGCAATGCACTTACAGCATTCATATGTTCCAAATGTAACTCGATGTTCGTTTGAGCTTGCTTAAGCCTCTTTTTTGCTTCTTGAATGTCGGGTCGAACAGAAGGCGTTGCTTTGAGCAAACGTGCCAGCAGAAGGGGATATTTCGTAACTCTTTGGACAGGAACCTGAAAAAATATTTAAAAATAAGATAAAATTATCTCCTTTTTAATTAGAGGATATTAATATCAAATATATCTAGGATTACGTGACATTACCATTAAAAAGGAATTCAGATTCATTCTTCGCAAAACTGTGTTCTCCATTTGAGAAACCCTGAGGAAAATACGTAAAAGCTCCTTTTCCTTTTCCAAGTTTTGCAGTAATAAACTGGCGCCGCCTTGACGCGTGCAATAGCTCTCGAAAGCATGAAGCATTCTCTCCGACTCGAGGAAGATCTTGCCCAGGTCCACCGTCAGAAGATCCTCGTCCCCGGATACCTACGCAATCGAAAAAAAATCGTAGCAACGTAAGTTGCAAACTTTTTCAACGCGTAAATAAAATTTAAAAATAAAATCTTCGCTCTTTTCACCTGAGCGAGTTCCACGCTGTCCTTTAACTTTTCGGCCAAAACGACATTGTGCTCGAGCAACTCCTCGACATTCAGAAAGATCGCCGACAACTGCTCCGACGTGAGGAGGCCCGCTCTCAACATTGGTCGATGGAATTCTTCGAGGATGATCTGCAAGTCTCTGCCGTACTTTTGTTCGGTCTCGACGATCTCTGTGATGATCTCTTTCCGCTCCGCACGCTTCTTCGAGCACTTCCGGCAGACGAAGGGCGCGTAAACCACGCCGCTAAAAAGACAAAACAGAAATGTATCTATATTCCCATAATAATAATAATAATAATTTAAAGAGAATTTTATCAACGTCGAACGAGAGTGGAATGCGATCTAACGCGGAGCTCGCGATCGAATTTATATGTATAATCCGTGATCGCAGATGAAAGTGGCTGTCGCGTGCAACTAGACATATCGCATTATCCATTCATCAGACATCTCAACCGCGTTCTTCGATAACGAAGAACTTTCGCTCTCTCAGGCGAATAAAATCGATAGCGAGAGAGAAAGTCTGGCCCACTGTCTCTTGCACTTGTCGCAAGTGTAATCTAGCTGCACGAATTCTAAATAGATATATACGATAGAGAGAAAGAGAGAGAGAGCGCTCACGTTACCTCACTTCGTTACAGGCACAATCAAAAGGTATAAAAAATAGTTACAAGAAACGAGTCAATTAATCACGGTTTTGAAGAATTCGGCCGGGCATTAATTCAGAAAGATGAAGATAATTCCTGGTTAATTTCTCACGGGAGGAGAATCGCAGTTTAGATCGCTACGACGGATGCGGATGACTCGACCGCGAAAAGTTCATGACCGTAACGAAAGGACATTCGTTCCTCGATTCGCGAGATTGCATCTCTGGGAGGTCGAAATAGACAAGGCGACGTTTTATTCGAGGATTCGTACTTTGTTCGGAGGCGAGACGAGCGAATTCCTCGCGATAAATCGAATCTCTCACGATCTAAAAGTCGGCTGGTCGTGGAAGAAGACACTCTTCGACGTGGATTCCGGACCGTTATATCTTTCCCTTCTCGGATCATCGAGCGCTATCCGCGCTCCGGCTAAGAGTGATAACAGTTTACGATTTACGCGGATGTCGAAGCACATTAAAAACGAGTTTTCAGGAACGCTCGTTCATTTTGCCACTCGAACGGTATACGTGAAAAGCTATAGACGAGCTGAGGCTGGAACGCGAGAGCGCTTGTATCCATCAAGATTTCGCTTATTAATGTGTATCACTCGTGCGTTAAATAATATACCGTCGCGCGCGAAAGAGAAGAGAAAAAGAAGAGCGAGAGATAAGCAAAACCGTTAATCACACGCGCCCGCGATCGTTTCTCGCGCATATATACATATTTTTCCAGCGATTATTTATATAATCTAGGCTGTTATAAATTCTTACGGTTTCGGAGCACCGTGTCTTTATACGAGACACGACATCGACTTTCCAAGTGAATCGCGCAATTAGCGGCGTGATTTTTATCCGCGACAATGGAGACGCGATTGTTGAGGTGTACATTAATTTGTTGTATATCGAAAACGCATATCAAAATAAATATTACACATGTAACGGTTTCGATCCGCTGATTCCATCTCTTGCGACCCACCTGTCCGTTATCAGGGGATCCAGTCGCTGCTCGCAATCCTCGCACAGCTTCGCAGTACCGGAGATCACTTGTGGTATTCCATTGAGAAGGCTTCCCGGACCGGAAGAGACATTGTTTCCTGTCCGCCAGCGTCTCGCGACACCGCGAGTGCTGCTGGCTTGGCTGCTCTCGGACCCGACCCCGCTGTCGGTTCTCTCTATGTCGACCGTCCTCGACTGCGAAAAGAATATGAAAAAGATTAGATTAACGAGAAAGATTTATACAGTCATATCAGTACCTATAGGGATTAATGAAATGTTGAAAAAAAAACTTGTTATAATCTAGGAACGATATATTTAATTCGACCCAAACTAGTCAAGAAATTTTTATTTTATTTCCACAACGTTTCGACCATCTGTTTTTTGACGATCCATCATAACGATAAGATGCGGTTATTTCTTTCAAAAGTTCTTTCAAATTTTTTTAAAAAATTCCGATAATCATATTGTTTAATAATCATGACAACAGTGTCAACTAACTGCGCTTTTATCAATGAATTTTTCATTTGAAAAGAACCAAAAATCTTTCCTATTTTAAATACCACTAGCGACGTTTTAAGTATTCAATTTGTTTTTATAATCTTTTGCGCTAAACTTACCTTCAACGTCTCTGGCGAGCTCGTCAGGATGATGTTGCACTCCTCACTGCTGTCGGATACGTTGGAGATCTGCGAGCTTTTGGAGCTGAGATCGCCCAGGCTCGTCTCCTTCTGCTCGTACAGAGCCTCCAGATCTCTCTCGGCGTCATCTTCCTCGTCCTCGTCCTCATCCTCGTCCTCTTCCACAGGGCGTGTGCGATCTTTGGAGTCCATCAGAAAGTTCAAGAGCTCGAACTTTGTAGAGATGTTAGTCTCGTCCTCGGGCGACGTCGACATCTTTTTGAAAAAATCTTCGGGACTTTTGGACAAGTAGGTCTGGGCTAGCTCCTCCGAGTTGGATTTCTTGAAGACTTCCTCGGATAAATATGGACCGAGAAACTGACCCGGCGTCATCTTTTTGTAATATTCGACGTCGCCGAAGTAGATTCTGTCCTTGAGGTAATCCTCCGTGGGTGGCGGACTCAAGGGCAACGGTGGCGGTTCGTCGGGTATCTCTTCGTAGATCGGTTCCTTGATCACTTCGTAGGGATTCTCCTCGAGGAAGAGATTCGTCGAGATAAAGTCGCCGTCCGAATTCAAGCTGGACGATCGCGAGTAATTTGCTTCGAGAGTCGATTCCGAGCTCTCGTACTCTTTGCTCTTCAACAAGCTCTGCTTCAGGATCTTCAGGATGGCCTGGCCGCTGTCCTCGTCGAGGATCTCGCCGTTCTCGCGAGCCTTTCGGAGGGAGTCTTCGAGCAGCTTGGAGATCAAAGCTTCTTTCGACAAGCCGGGCGAATCCTCGATGTCCTTAAATCGCGCTTTTGACTCCGATCGCGTCACTTTCTCCTCGGGAGTGTTAAATCTCGGCTGATTAGCATCCGAAGACTTGATCTCGACGCTCAACCTCTTCTGCTTCTCGAAACACGAGGAGGTTTCCTCGCTGGGCGACGCAGGTGCTTCCTCGTCATTCGCCTTCGAGCTCGTTTTACTGTCCTCGACCGCGTGATTGTCCCTTCCGATCTGTTTTGGACGCGAGTCATCGTTCGCCGACTCCACCACGATGTTCGCCCTGTAATTCTCGAGTATCACCAGAGTGCGATTCTCCGAGGAGCTCTGGATCTTCGGGGGATTCTCCGAGTTTACGGAGATCACCGTCGGATTACACACGCTGTCCTCTCCACCGACGCTGATGGTCACTTTGTTATCCCGCGCCGGTTCCGGGCTGGTGTTCTGATCGCCGTTGATGAGGATGGACGTTCTTCTGGCACCCTTCGAGCTGGAGTTCGGACCGATCTGCAGCCGATGGACCAGCGGAGACGAGCGCGGACTCACCGTGATCTTGCAGACGTTGTTCTCGGGCGAGTTGATCTCGATCTTCGAGGATCCGTACGAGCTCGCCGAGTTCCAGGAGGCCGTCGACGCCGACGAAACTGTTCTCCGATGATCCCTGATGGAGTTTACGGGACTCTCGTCCGCGCTGGACTCGATTTTGAAGCGATGCCTCTGTCTACCAGGCGGCGGAGACCAACTCGTGGGTCTCATCGTACGGAAGTGTTCGTTGCTCGCGTCGGAAATGTCGCTACGCGCGTCCAGCGAATGTTCCGCGTCGTTCTCGACAGCATTCTTCTTCTCGGTCGCTGTCTTAACATTTTCACGCGTCTCGATCTCGGGCTCCTTGAGGTCGCCAGTTTTCGCCCCGAGCTCTTCCGTCTTGCCTTTCCTTCCCAGAGAACTCTCCTCGTTTATGTCCTCGCGCGAAATTGCGCGTGCACCGATGGGCGACGACGGCGACTTGATCTTCTTGCTCAGACTGAACCGCATCGTGTCCGAGAACAGCACGTCGCCCGCCGAGACGTCCGGTCTACTGAATGACCGATCGCTTTGGCTCCGCGTCAACAGGGATTTTCTCGAGTTCTCTGCGGACAGCAGTCGAGAGGAAATTAATCGGTAAGTAAAGCGAGTAATTGAGACGACGGCATGGAATTTTAACTCTATAATGCGTGGAATTTTTGTGTCCTTTAGTCATTATATATATATATATATATTCAGCGGAATTTTAATATTATAAAAACTATTAAAAATAACATGAAATAAAATTATGTTAAGTGGAATATTAATATTATAACAAATATTAAATATTAAAAATAAAATTATGTTAAATAATATTATATTAATACAATCGATATTTTTGTAAGGTCTATTTCTTAATGACAAATTTATATCGAAGTATGACATATGTGGCCTAAGGTATAAAAAAAGAGTAAGAAGAAAAAATTCAAAGCTGAGTGCAAATAATAAAATAAATTATCGAGACTTTCTGATAGAAACGCACAATAAATTATCTCGAATACAGATGTAATTTTAGATTTTATTTATAAAGCTTAACACAAAGATGAATCAAAGCGTCACGCTTGCAGTAACAATTGCCTCGAGCTGCGAGAGAGAGCTACATAGTCTGATGATCAATATGATTTTATGTTCGAATGGTCAGCGATTTATTTTATACCCTTTCTTTCGCGCTTTGTGTTGGAGATAGATACATTTCTCTCTTTCGCGAAGCGAGAATTTCCGTTCATTTCACGGATCTGGAGGACGTCGGCAACACTTATCCCAGGAAGGAAAACCGCAGATGTGAAGCATGAAGCTGGAATCGGATACGCGTGAAAATTATACTCGGTGATTTGATACCAAAATTTAGCCGGATGCGTGTCTGAGGAAATGCTTCTTTTTACGCACTGATGCTTTCATTTATAACAAATAAATAAGTTGTACAAGGAAAAGTTATTCAATTATGATATTGAGTTGCATTACATTCTGATGAAAAATTCATCTGAATTAATTATGCATACGTGACTGTTGTGTTCATAACTATTTTAAATGCATTCTATTTTTTTTATCACATATACATTTGTTAGATTAATATTTGCAAAATATATCTACAGAGTTTCGTTTTCGATACACCGTTTATTCTATTAAAACGTTTCACTGAAATCTCGAAGTAGAAGTGAAATCTTGTATATCTATTCTTGTATGTATAATTTTGAATTTGTCACGAATTACGCGAGATTATTGACAAGTAATTTACTCATCAAGTATCGCTCGAGCAAATCTATCCTTCAGCTTTTCAATATAATAATAGCATGTCCAAATTCCATTCGATTGTCATCCCGTTCTCTCTCTATCTCTGCCGAGTTAATATAACATTATCATCGAGAGGCTGCTCCCTCGATCGTCTCTAACGATCGGTGAAAGTATTATATGCGGATCTTTGAAGGCGCGCAAACGAGCTCATAATTTCTCGCCGCGAGAAAATTTCAAGCCGTTTTTCCGCGGTTGCTCCACTTTACACGCGGCCGCCAGGAATTTCTGAGACGCGTGCGATTACTTGGCCGCAAAAACGGTTGCGCAAATCGCCGATCCGCCTCGTTTATGGCTTCATGGCTCGGATCAATCTCACGCACGAAGAAGAAAGATGTGCGAGGTTTTGCGAAACTAGCATAAGTGTTGTGCCACAGCTAATGAGCTCCCCTCCGTATTACGGATTTAACTATGCTAATCGTCAGCTATCACGACATGGAATTTGACTGCAGATAGTTCGTAAAATAAGAAGATTAATAGATAATTAAAAAATTGAAAAATAAACGCTTCTTATTTTTTATTATTATATTTGTATCTTTAAGATGTTAACGGGGTGTTGAAAAATTAAACCGACAAACTTTGAAAGGAAAAAAGAAGTAGATGTCTAGTAAAAATTATATCTACTGATTAAATACTTTGGATAAGCAATCATAATCTAAGATCAAAAATCTATATCTTATTTATTTAACGTGTAAAAAATATATAAATAACAAATATTTCTATTCTAATAAATATAAATAATAAAAATCTCAGTACCCTCCTCCCTAATATTTCATATGGATATACATTTTTCAATATTTTACATTAATTTTTACATTAATTTCAAATAAAAAAAATTAAACATATAAAGCTTTCACCATTCTAAATTAAAAATAAAATTATATAAAGATTATTTTGCGAAGATAGTTCGCAGTAATTAAAATTTGCTATTAAAGAATACAAAACGTGCACAAGTGTCAAGCATTTATATAGTAAATAAGGTACTGGCAAAAAGAGCATTTCACGCACTTTTACTGACAATGAGTATCTATAGAAAAGGCTAAACAATAAAAGGCAAAAACGAAACTCAGAAGTGACGAATAAAGAGAGAAAGGTACGGCGAGGCTTAAAAAGAACGTCATTGTTAAAGATCCTAGACAACGAGGCTAGTCAACTCTTTGACGAAAGAAAAGCGTCAGCTAAATGATGAAGCGGTGAGGTTCCTCGTTCGAGCGAGGATTTATATCGCTGTACACAAAACGAGCGTAAAAGACAGTCCATGATATACGAACCGTGAATCGCCATGGTGTGAAAAAGGATTATCGAGCCACTACCTCATGTGGTCGATGCAAAAGAGTAAAAACCTGAGGTATATACTGGGTGTTTCTAAAACTATGTCAAAGATTTTAAGGGTGTATTCTAGGAGTCGAAATAAGAAAAAAAGTTCCTATAAACTCGGGTCCAAAAATGCTTCCAAAATTGCAAAAATCCATGTTTATAGGAACTTTCTCTCTTATTTCCCTAAAATACGTTCTTAAAATCTCCGAGTGTACTCAATAGGAGTCAAAATAAGAAAAAGGTTCCTATAAACATGGGTCCAGAAATGCTTTTCCTCCGAGTTACAACCTCCTTGAAGATGAGTAAAAAATCGACAAATGTTTTATTGTAGCTTTCGGAGATTTTTTCACAAATCGAGAAAGAGACTTTTAAAACAATCTGTGAAAAGAATTAGAATACAGACTTAGAGGAAGAGCATTTTTGGATCCATGTTTATAGGAACTTTTTTCTTATTTCCCTAAAATACGCCCTTAAAATTCCTGATATGGTTTTTGAAACACCCTGTATATTAATATCTCTTTCTCTTTCTCTAAAAAGCATAATTACACGGTTATGAACCCGTGCGCGTGGATCAAGGGAACGAATGAACCGATGATTTATGAGACCCCTGGGTAAACAACGACGGTGCGAAGAAGTCAAGGTTCCCAACTCGAGATACTCGATCAGGTGCATCTATTACGGACGCAGCACGTGGCTGATGCAGCGAATGTACATACGTGCCTGATGATTGATAGTCCCTTTGAAAATTCTCCAAAAATGCGCAGCAAAAAATCTCTCATTTATTGGACGTTCTTTCGTTTACTTTCTTTTAATCATTTATAAGTAATCACATCGCACATAAAATGCATATTAATTGCAACATGTAATGCATCTACAAATTCTCTTTTCAGCCCTCAATCCATATCTTACTTCGATATATTTTTCTTGATCAAAAAAAATTAAGAAAATGTTATCCACGCACAATAAGATTGTATATTAAAAAAATAGTTAATTGATAATAAAAATAAAATCACGTGAAAACTTAAATTTCTATATGTATTCAAACGTGATCCGAATCGCGCAACAGGTGCGTTTCAACTTAATTGCAAGAAGACTGGCTGCAGTTATTAATTTTCAAAGTGGAAAGAGCGTAGCGAAAGCAATCCTGTGTGTGAATCATCGTCATTCAGTTATTATTACATTACACCTGAATTAACTTATGCGCAATACAGAATGTGAAACTGATGAAAATAATTCACGATATGTATCGCGCGCGTGTATGAAGGAAAGAAGATTGTACGTTCGCCCGTTTGCGCGAAGAGGAGAAACGAACGTAAAAAGATTCGCGCCTGGGAAAAAGAAATCGGCATTCAGATTTGATAATTCGAACGCATCGCGCTCGCTCGTGCTTGAGCTTAGAAAGTAGACTGGAAATGGCTAATTAAAACGCGTGAAAGAAGACCGCAGATAAACGTACAAAGCAATGAATGGAGAGATACTCCGCACACATTTAAAATACTATATATTATTATAATATAAAGACATTCATTATAATATAATATAAATTATTATTTATATTATATATTATTTTATATTTATATTAATACAATATAAATTAATATACGTCGAATACATCAAAGAGACTTAAATCTATATTTTCGAGCAACGCAGTTATATTAATAGCAGGATTTATTTATTGCGTAAAACATAATTAAGACTTGGAAATAATTTTTTTTAATTTTTAAATTTATATGTTTATTAAATACTCCTGGATGTATAAACTTTTACAATTGGAGAGCTGGTAATGACGTATAAAATTAATGATTATTTTCACAAGCTGCGTTCAATGATCTTTCTCGTAAGATTGATAACTTGTATTCAAATTACGTGTGTGCGAGCGATAAATAAGAAGGCGGATACTATATAAAAGCGTACGAGGAGGAGAGAAAATCTCGTGTCCACGAAGCGTTTCGTCATCGTGTCGCTTGCCTGCGGTTATCTAACGCCTCGTCGTCGTGCAGTGCATTTACACCGGAAACACGATCGCCGGAAGTCATCGCGTAGGGGATTTCTTTTACTCTCCGTTACATATTCACACACTGCCGGGAGCATCGAGGTACACGACCGCATTTCAGATGAATCGAGACGCGGAGGAAAAGAAATTTTCCTCTGAAATGCCCTGTCAAATTTTCTTTTTTTTTTTCAAGGGAAAAATATATAATATTTAAAAAGAACCAAGAGAGAGAGAGAGAGAGAGAATTACGTAAATTGATTTTTATTAAATTATTTATTAAATTATAAAACTTCGTTTCCGTATATAAAAGAATGATCAGAGAAAGTGTTGACTTTACAGCTCTGAAATATTCTACCCGTTTCCGGTATTCCTTTGTAAGTAACTTTCGTTCTTGAATTTAATTTTCTAGGGACGCCTGTAAATTATTGAATGATATTATGGCCAGAGAAAACGTTCGCGTTAATCAAGATCGCTTCTAGGCACTGTTGGTGAACGGGACTTTAATCTCATTCTAAGACGCGAATATAATTCTCGGTGTCTCCGAGAGATTGGCAGTTATCTCGAACTTTACTGCTCGACTATTGAAGAATATAATAATGCTGAGCTATATTAAGTCCCCTCGATCACTCGATGTATCGCGAGCAGATATATTGGTCTTCTGAAAAGTTGCTTCGGTCACCATATCTAGATACTAGTATCGAGCACTATTGCGCCATAATACCAGTTTGTTACTGCTGCTATAACTGCTATTAGCAGAAGCCAACGTAACTTATGACGACTGGAGAGATCGCGCGCGGAATATCAATTAATCGCAATACAAATTAATATGGCATATACGTAAAAAGACGCGCAGCGATCGTTAACGTATATATACGCTCGTTTCTATTAATAGATTCTAACTTTTTTTTTACCGGTACGATTAAATAAGTACAAATCAGCTGATGCGGTGTGCTTCAGTGCTGATTATCCAAGTTAATTCACACAACTTTCTCATTTCGCATTGCAAAGTTTATTCGCACTCGACATTCCCGAATTCACGTCGCAATGTCTGTTACCAAAACTCTTTTCGAAAGAGATCCACTTAGATCTTGCAAAATACCTCACAGGACATCCGCGAATTAAATTTCAAAAGTGTAGCAGATAATAAAAAATTTTTTAATATATTGAAAGAATTTATATAACAAATTTTTGAATTCCAAATAAATGCTAGAAGAACGAGGGGATTTAATGACATAACATTTATCCGAAAGAGCGAAAGGATTTGTCGATATATGTAAATGAGATTGCATATTCAATTTTAAATTATTAGACTTTCACGAAATTATATTTTCAATCGCGAATCCGGCTTTCGAAATTGTTCGCGATGTAGCCTCGCAAATCACACGTTGCGTCTTAATATCGAAAAAGTGCGAGATCGATTTGATGTCGATCGCAATCGATCGATACGCGCGTCTTCTCGGAAAGAGGTAGGCAATAAAGATCAAATCGCACGATCGGCGTGTGTGAAATTAGTATGTAACTATTCCTCCTCCTTTGGACAATCCGTATAAGGACGTCGTTCGCATTGTTCTCGATCGTCTCGTATTTTTCCCACACGTCCACTTTCGCGGCTTCTCCCTCTCTTGTCGAGAATGCGAGATAATGTAACACCGGAAAGAGCAACGTTTTCCTTCATGAATGATGGAACATCGCGATAGAAACGTTCGTGGAGTTTTAATTTGAAAAAATTATTCCGATGAAAAAAAATTATAATTGTTCGATACAATATTCTCATTCTTGGAAAACGCGAAACGACAATTCTATATATCGCTATCCGTAAAAAAAAAAAATAATTTAAAATTTAATCCATTCCTATAAAACCTCCTGCAAAACGAACGCTAAAAATAAATTAACATAAATTTCACGACTAATAAATTTCTCCACGATAACAACTCTCTTAAAAAAGATGTCGTTTCGTAAGTTTATGTGCTAGGGAAGATGTAGTATTTTTTTAATGTGCAACTGTTACTATGTAGAAGTGCTACTATGTACAAGTAGCCAGGAGAAGATGATAAATCGTCTACCTCCCAGGGTTGGCTGGACGCCAGCCAGCCAGCCCTGACCTTATAAACACTTTCGAATGCTCCAGTCGCACAACTCATGAGTCTCTTTCAAGCGACTCTTAAAAGCGAATTAAATAGCCCGAGGATAAGGCTCAGGGTCGTCAGGATCAGCTAACCTTTCTCCTCTTGTCATCGACAAAGCGGCTCTTAAGGACGGTTATTCGCGAATTTCAACCGCGCCTTCCAGCCAGTATCCGCGTTCAATGTTAATTCGACTTCGTATTAACTTGTCAAGCTCTATGCACAGGCAATGTAATTAATTAAAAAGATATTAAATACACGAGAAAAAATTATCTGTATTTTTTTATATATTTCTCGGATTGAATATATTTTTTCCAGATAAATCGCGTTCGCCAGGATTCGCGACTTTAATGATCCTTGTTAAAGTGTGAATCGCAAATTCTATGCACGGCAATTTAATTAATTAAAAAATAGTATATACACAAGAAAAAATTATCTGTATTTTTTTATATAATATTTCTCGAATTAAATATATATTATTTCCAGACAAATCGCGTTCGCCAGGATCCGCGACTTTAATGATCCTTGTTAAAGTGTGAATCGCAAACTCTATGCACGGCAATGTAATTAATTAAAAAGATATTAAATACACGAGAAAAAATTATATGTATTTTTTTATATATTTCTCGAATTAAATATATTTTATCTAGGCAAATCGCGTTCGCCAGGATTCGCGACTTTAATGATCCTTGTTAAAGTGTGAATCGCAAACTCTATGCATGACAATTTGATTGATTAAAAAATAGTATATACACGAGAAAAAATTATCTGTATTTTTTTATATAATATTTCTCGGATTAAATATATATTATTTCCAGACAAATCGCGTTCGCCAGGATCCGCGAACTTTAATGATCCTTGTTAAAGTGTGAATCGCAGAATTACACGATCCTTATAAGAGTTTCGGGAACAACATGCTATACAATGCACAGTTAGGAAAAGCGTGTGCAATCGCGAGCCGTCATCCTTGAACGCATAATTTTTTTCCAAAGTTCAAGGATAGCTCGATAAGTCGCGTCAACCTCAACGGCCCATTAATCATGCGCGTATTAGCATAATGACCGGAGGGAAGCGAGATCGTAACACGAGATGATAACACGATAAACGTCGATGAGCAGCCGATATAGGATTATTGATCTGTGATGAATGCAGATTCTTGCCCGCGATACAAAACGGCCACATCTTTAGATTTCTCTAATTTCCGCGTGCAAAATTAATGTACGGATAATTGTAAGCACATGATACTTAGTTAAAAGTAGCAGCATCATATAGAGCAATTAATTATCATCGTCGATAAGTTGACCGTTTATTTATACTGTATATTTAGAGCTACTAATGCAGCTTTAAAATAACAACAGAGTTATTATTATGGAAATCTGATAGTTTCAATAATCAATTATATAAAATTATTAATATGTACTGTTAAAAAAATAATAGCGCGTAAAAATAGATCATTGATAATGTAATATATTAATTAATAATATGTAAAGAATGAAATAATATATTAATATAAATTTTATGAATTTTGAGCAAGTTATATATTCTATGTGTATCAAATAAAATTCTTACAAAATATATTTTTATAAAACAGAATAATGTGAAAAGTCATATTAAATTTTAATATTATTATTTTGATAGAATATTTAATATAATGTTATGAATTATGAATAATAATTTATTACCCAGAATTTTTCCGACATATAAACGTGGTTTTAACAAGATAATAATGCATACCGCAATAATGAAGGATTTTATATTTTCGAAAAAGCACTTACCTTCGGATTTTAGGATGAGGTCCTTTTCGTCCACAGCAATGCACGGCAAACGGTCCTTCAGCTCCTCGATCTCGATCTCCAGCTCGGTCTCGTCTTCGGGTCGGATGGTCCTTTCGTCTAACAATCCTCTCTCTCCTGCCAACGTCTCCTCCCTCTCTCTAGGAACGCTCTTCGACAACGAAGAGCCGAGCGAGGATCGCTGTACGTTCCTGATTTCGTCCTGTTGCTTCTTGGAGGCGACAGGACGACTGGGCTTTCTGGATGGAACAAATTTGTCTATCTTGATCTTGTCGAGACCGGACGACGTGGTCTTCTTCACTTCCGACACGATTCTCGGCTCCTTGAACCTGATCCTGTCCACCCTCGGATCCCTGATATTCGGGATCGTGATAAAGTTGTGTTTCTCCTGCTGATCCTGCGACACGATCGGCGTTTCCTCCCGCTCGGGTCCAGGACTGCTGATTCGCTGCTGCTCCTTGTTGCAACTGGCGATCCTGCCGATCTTGCTCCAGGACATTCGCGTCGCTTCGGACGGTTTCTCGGGCGCGAATATCACGTTGTCGACGTTGAAGAGCACATTCTTCCTCTTGCTCTCGAACACGCGGCCGCGCTTCAGGATGCTCTTCAACGTCTGCCGGGCTTCCTTCAGCCGCCTCGGCGGTCTCTTCGGCGATATCTTCGGTATCGGGATCCTGGTGACCGGCAACGGCGCCTCGTCAACATCGTCCTCGTCGTCCTCGTCGTCCGAAATTTTTCGGGGCGCGTCATTGAACACCCTGATCCGTTGACCGCCGATCGCCGCCACCGAGCTCCTGTTCGGTATCCTCTCGATCGACTTGACCTTCGACGAGTCGAACAGGCTGGACGCCGTCCTGAGCTCGTCCTGCTCCAACGCGTTGTCCGACAAATCGTCGCTCAGGTCGTCCTCGTCTCTCTGCTTCTTCAGCAACAGATAAGGATTCACGTCGCACTCGAGGATGCTCCTTCGCGAGTCCGCGGAAACCGATCCTTCCTTCCAATCGTCCTGGCCGCTTCTCCTCTGATTCGTCTCTCTCGGTGACCTTTTCGGAACGCGAGTGAGCCTCGCGGGATGAATTCGCGGGTGACCTTCCGCGGTGTCCTCCAGCATCCAATCGTCCGAGGTGCCGCCGTTGCTGGAGAAACCGGGTCGCGGTTTACGATCGTCGTAGTTAGGGGCCGTACTCGGTTCTTTATCGAACCACTCGGATCTCGACGACGATGCGCCCTCGGCCTTTCGCTCCTTCGCGACAACCCGCGAAAGCATGCTCTGGCTCCTGGAATCTCGCTGCGAGGACGAGCGAAGCGGCGAGATGCTGCGCGCCCGCAATCTCGGCTCCACCAGTCGGTTCCGGCGCATCTGATCGTACGGATCGTCGATCGGGGTCCTCAACACGCCTAGAAACAGATTTATAAACCGTTTGTATAATATATCACGGACGTCCGCAAAGGAGGCATTACACACTGAAATGTACGTGTATATTTAATATATAAATCGCTTGCCAAATTAGGTATTTTTTATTCTAGCACTTGAAAAGGACCACAATGTGGGTCGAAACGTAGTGTGTATTTATTTTCAATAAATGAATAGCCAGTTTTTGGTCGAATTAAATTGCATTTTATTATTTGTGAAAATTTTATCACTGGCGATCAACAATTAATTGTGAAGATTTAATATATAAAAATGAAAATAAGAAATTAAATTTAAAAAATTTTTCTTTAATTTGGTTAAGAAAAAAATCCTATATGTTTTGTACTCGCGAGAGGAAATCGCCCGGCGGCTCCCGCGACTCGATTTATTACAGCAACCTACATCGGCCGCGAAAAAAATTTAATTTCAGTTTCTAATCCATATATATTATTTCGAGGAATTTTCCCCGCGGCGACACAAGATTTCCTCCCGGAAATCTACGGGGCATATATCGTAAATGTGGGCCGCCACTTTGGGAGCGTGTATTCTATTCACGTCGAAGTCGATGGATTGAAACTTAAGATAATCTGATTTTTATTTTCAATAATATAAAATAATAGAAAATAATTTTCATATAAATTTCATATTTCAAAATAATTTAATCTCAAGGAAATTGTTTTCCAAAAATTATCAATATCTGTCATGGCAGAAGAAGAGCCGATTAAAAAATAATTTTTAGATTCATATGTTTATATATGAATCTTTTTATTCATTTCGATGAATAAAATATAAGCTTTCATGATAGCAGCTCACATTTATGATATTCAATTTATATTCTGAAAGTGATGAAGCACATTTATTGTGAAATTTAAGTCTCCTTAATTCTTAGAGAGAGATCCCTTTACAATTTAACAGACTGCGAATTTATTCAAAAACTGAATAATTTTATATATAATAATGTTTCATTTTGTCATAATCTAAAGCAATTTGTTCCTGAAATAATAAACGTTATAGAAACAAAAGACCATTGTATAAACATGCGTATATAAAAAATTGTATAACCATTTATTAACTATATATTATCTTTACTTTCCCCTAATGAAAATAACGCTGCAGCTAATAGATTTCGCGTTTACATTTCACGTCGATGGTGGGTCGATGCAAAACGGAACGATCCAATTATCGTCATTCGAAAATCACTGGAGTGCAAAGTAACAATTGTCCGAAGCATCGCTACTACTAACATTTCTAACGATTCGCAAAGTATCGCGGTTCAACCGCGGCTCGAAATAAACGGAGAAGCGTGCAGTTTAAAACAATTTAAATGCAAACTAAAGCGCACAGGTATGCGAGAGCATCATCGTCGAGCGAGAGATTCAGTTATCTAGCTCGCGGCCGAGAACTTTCCGCGCTTCTCGTTTGTATGCACGCTATCTCGAACGCGAACGAGGAGAAAATCTCTCTAATACGAAGCGCAATTAGAGCATGAACATCATCGGCGAGCAGAAGGCTTTTACACCCCGCCCTCACTTATCTCACTTACATATCTCGCCCTCACATATATTATATAGATCCCCTTTCAGTGATACCTCTTTCATTAGCACGTCTTTTGAAATCGCTTAAAAGAACAACGTTCATATAATTTAAACATTTTTTGTGTATAATTATTAATTTAAAAATTTGATTTTTCTTTGAAAATCACTTTAACAGATATTTAGGGTGAGTTATAGGAAAGATTCGTATCGTGCAATAAGCATCTTTTCTAGATGTATATTTCAAAGACGTGCAATATATATTATAATATATTATATACGTCCTTATACATTTTTCGAAAAAATTATGCATGTGTAAATGAAACATCTCTACGAAATATCGGAGAGAATTTTCTCTTAAAATTCACCCTGAAAATCATGGAAAAAACTATGTATATATTAATATTTTTCTAATAAAAATATTGATCAGAAAAACTCATAAAATTCCCCCAATACCATATTGACCGAATTACCATGATTTTCAGAGTAAAAATATCCTTCTCTCTAATAAATATTCGAAATATTTGCAAAAAAAAAAATTCTCTCTGTCTAAAACAGCAATGATCGACTCACCGGCGAGACTGGGTCTGGATCTGGACGACGACGGCAGCCGGCAGGTTCCGCCTAGGGGCAGCCCGGCGACCCGGTGGCCGCCGCACTTGCGGCAACTGCCGAGCTTCCTGACGGTGCCGGAGAGGAATTCCGGGCAGGAACATACCACGAGCAGCGGTGCCGCGCCCGGTGGCGGCGGCGGAGTCAGGAACGGCCGCGGTTGTTCGATCCGCGACGATCTCACCGTGCCGTAGAGCCACGGATCGCCGCCGTAGATCATCTGGCGGGAAAAGATGCTGCTGCCGCTTATGGTGCCCCAACCAACGCCCTTGCCCGAATCATCCCCGGGATTCTGCTGGTGCTGCCGCGACAGGCCCAGCCGTACGCTCCACGACTTTTTCCCCTTGCTCAAGGTGTCGTAACTCTGCAATCGAAGAAGAGATCATAGTTGAGTGATTTTTTTTTGTAAAATATAAATAGAAAACTCTAATGTAAAATAAAATGAGAGCGGGCTAATTAAGAGCCGAATAAAATAAACGGTGCGCGAACTTTTTTTTTTTTGTTAATTTGTAAAATTTATTTATTTGGAACTCGTACGTTCCGATCTTAATTTAGTACCGTCATCAGCAACTTTTAGATACGTGTAAAATAAATTTTATGATGTGGTGGATTATTAAACTCGTATACGGAGAGAATTTTCTCTTAGAATTTACCCTGAAAATCATGGGACAATATGATATTGGAAGAATAAAATAAATTAAAAATAAATTAATTGAAAATATAATAAAAAATGTTAATATGTACATTGTAAAATTAATCAAACATATTTTATATCTTATTGTAGTGAATATTAATCAGAGAAACTCTTATAAAATTCTTCCAATACCATATTGTCCCACGATTATCATGATTTCCATAGTTAATTCTAAAAAAGAATTCTATTTGTGCATAATTTGAAATACAGATTAAGTAAAAATAATTTTGTAACAAAAAGAAATTCCATTTTATTTGTAAATTTTTTAAATATTTGTTTACAATTGAGTAAGAAAAGAATTGTGGACAGATATCCTACAATTTTTCCATACATAAATTCACATGTTTTGAACAATTGGATCACAAAACATGAAGTATGTAATTTTTTTTGACATGATCATTCTTCTTTTTTTTTGACTGTCGGCTGAAGTACAAGTCGGGTACAAGTCCACCGTGAGAAATATGAGTGTAATTTCCTATAATCTTTTATCGCAGAAACAGAGCATTATACAATCTTCACTCGTCCACTTTCTACCGTAATGGTATATCGTTCGAGATACATCAATTGCTGCAAGGATACATTACGTTACCACGAAACGTCCAATACATATATATATATATATATATAGATTTTTCTTCGACGTGATCATTCGTTTCTTTGGCTGCCGGATGGAATCGGAAAAGCCTCGTCATAAGAAATCATCCGAATGTATTTGCGACGTACGATCATCCGCGACATTCTTACGGTAATTGGCTGCATCGGTAATTACGGATGCATCATTCCGCTGACTTTCCGGTTCAATATATCGCGCTAGCTGTAATAACTTCCTGGATAGGAAAAACACGCGAGGTCCCGAACGACCAGAGTTATATTCAGACACAAAACAGAATCAGCCATTGTTGCCTCTTGTCATTGTCCAGGCCATCATTCTTCCTTTCTTCGGGCTGTTTACCGAAGATATGCCGTAGGCATGCATACGACAACGGTATTTACGCCCGAAGAAATGAAATTCCGATGTATATTATGCATATGGAAACTGAAGGCGACAATAAAACGTGCGTGTGTTTCTAAAAATACACACCTTCTTATGTCAGACTAACATAATAGTGAACAAATATTTGTTATTAATTCAAAACAATATGAAAATATTTTTTACATTTAAGCTCGTTAACCACATTAGCTATAATATGTTGCCAATTGGAAATAAAATTTGTTAAGATGTTATTAATATATGTATTAAAGAAATTCCAAAGTCAAAGATATGTAATCAACGTATCAACTGCAAGTCAATTTACTCGATTATTTCCGTAATTAACTCCTCTATCAGTGGATAATTTTTCATCTTTTTATCGATATATGCACAAACAGATTTTCTCTTACAATTAAAATTTACCATGAAATTCATGGGACAATATGATATTGGAAGAATTTTATAAGAATTTCTCTGATAATATTTTTACCATATAATAAAAAATATAAAATATGTTCGATTAATTTTACTATGTACATATTATTTTTTACCACAATTTTCAGGGTAAATTTTATAAAAAAACTCTCTTCTTGGCGTGAGTACCAACTGTACATTTTGACACTTGCATTGCGATAATTTCTGTATAGCAACTGTTGGGCATTAAACATTTTTCCCACTATATTTAGGAGATTTCCAAAAAGATTTCTGGTCCTCTTTGTATTTTGTTTCGGGCGGAGAAAAATCCCGGTTTTTAACATTTAACATTTTTGCTTTGGATATCTGATTCGTTGACAGAAGGTTAATCAGAATGTCCAGCAGACTCAATGAAAAAAATTCCCTGACTTTTTCAGATTTTCCAAGACCAGAAATTCATTTTTTCCCTGACTTTTTAGTATTATTTTTTTCCAAATATATAATTTGCATATATCTATACGATAAATCAATTTAATGTTAAATCATGAAACTCAAAAATTTAAATTAATTATACAATCTGCATTACGTCCGATAATCGAAACAAACATGTCACTATAAACTATTTAAATGATCACCTTTTTTATTTATATTATATCAAATTTTTTAGATTTGTCTCTATCGAACACATCGAAAAAAAATAACACGACGATGAAAATATAAATTAACGAACACGCTGTAGATAAATCGATTTTTAACAACACAGAAAATTAGTGTGCTGGGAGTCGAGAAAAAGTTTATATTTATGTACTAAAAAATTTCAAATTATTGAGATAAATGTAAAAAAATCCAGATAAATAGAAAAATTTCCTAACTTTTCCCTAACAATTTCAAATTTATAAAATTCCCTGACACTTTGTTAATGATCAATTTCACTTCTCTGATAATAATCAATCGCGACGTACACCTTATCACGACAGCGAGTTCTCGCATCGCGCATTATTAATCTTGTGGAAGAACCGCAAAAACATAGACTACGCAGCCTTTCACCCCGACGTGTCACGTCTCGTCCGCGATTTTATCCGCAACGGAAATCGCTTTGTATTCGACGAGTATTGAAAGAGTGACGGATCACTCGTTTCGATTTCCCTTTAACAGCACGTACGCAGCTCGACCTTCGCTCCTCGCGTATTTTTGCCTTTTCTTCCTTTCCAGGAGAAGACCCTCGCGAATCAGCGAGTCCCTTCCGCAAATCACGCTGCTTCTGCTTCAGCGTCAGCCGAGAATTGCATTCTCCGAAGAAGGAAGACCGGAGAAAACACTCGCGATGCGAGCTCCGGTAGGCAGGTAAGTTGTGCAAAGAACCATAATATGGAAGAAGAGAGCCGTGGATGGGAAAAAAACGAAGGAAGACAGAGAGAGAGAAGGCAAACGCCGTTTCAGGGAAAGTGAACGATGATAGAATCGCTCGCGATCGGCAATTTAAATTCGCTTCCCCTTTAGAGAAATCGCAGAGATAACGTCGCGCACGTCGCGTGTTTGCGATGTTGAATCTCGCGAGAAAAAAAAAAGAGAGAGAGACAGGAAGAAAGATTTTAAACAACGCGTGGGAGGAAAGTGACCGAAAGAAATACATAGATTTGATTTCCTGTTTAGCACGGTTTATCGATTTAGATTTATATGTATTTCTGGAGAGATGGAGAAATTTTCTCAATACAAGTCCTCTGAGATGAAAAAAATTATTAAAGGGATATCGATTTTAAATCTATAAATTTAATTATATTCTTCAGAGTAATATATTTTTGTTAGAGAGAGGAGAATAAAAACAAATAAAATAAAATAAATTTCCCTTTTCGGTTACAATTAATATTTTTATCGCACAATAATTGAATTTTTCTCAGCAAGGAAATTTCATACAATAAATCGGAAAAGAACATTCGGAAAGCAAGACAAAAATTGTAAATTAATGGAAAAATCATCGAAGAAAACGACAATAAGAATAAAACCAGCGCGAATTTTGAAAAAATTAACAGTCAATGAAAATTATTTGCATTGAAAATTCTGCGACACAAAAGCCTCTATCTTTTCTCGCGACCATCGAAACACTTCCGGAAACGAAATGAAGAGAGAAAGAGACGTCTCTCGAGGAAGGCATATGTTAAGAAAATACAAGAAGCTTATATCCCAACGCGTCTAAGTGCGAAAAAACCGACCGGCTTGGAGAACCACGCAAGGGAAGGCTAAAAGGAAGAAACTCAGCGAAAAACCTTTTGTGCGTGTAAGTGTCTAGTTATCAAAGCGAACCCCTGCGTTACATCTTTCCGGTATAGGTTCTTCGAGGAAAAGAGAATCTATGCGCGAAAAAGCATTAGTATCAAACTGGCGCTATCTGCTACCTAACAGCTGATGAAAATCGCTCCTATCGAAGCAAACGGGATAGTAAACGGTTTGTGGAATAGCAAACTACGAGGGAAAAAAAAAATTTGCGATGGAAAAATGTTTCGTACCGTTACTCCTTGTTTACGGAATTTCGCGTTTATTCGTACACCATAAAAAAAAAAGAAAAAATTGCGCGCGTCTCGACACACAAAAGAGGAGAGATTAGATCGAAATAGGTTCCCGCGCGAACGAACGAGAGGATGCTGTTATCCTTAAAAGCCTTAATTAGATTTTCTTAATCGTGCTGATGTTAGAATCTCGGCCTAGCTGCCTCTAATATCTAATCCATTCAGACTCCGTTCAGTTCGCGCTTTATAATTATCCTTCGCGCGCTTATCTCTGGATCTACGCACTCGCAGTTTCCGCCGATGGGTACACATGGATGCAACGTAGAATACGTGCATGTATATATGTATACGCGAAATAAGGCCTACATCTCTCGGAGAGAGAGCGGGACGCGTCGATTTGTTCGCGACACGCGCTCTTGAAGACCGAATCTAATCTGCGATCTACCGAGAGAGTTTGCGCCCGATATATGTATATTCTGTCTCTCTTTTTTTCTCCTTTATGCAATGGCAAATACAGATTCGCGACGGTGACTTATTTTGCAATTCCGGTTGCGAATGGAAAAAAAGTTATATATGCGTGTCTTTTTTTTTTAATATCTATCTGCGTAAAAAAAAGATTATTTATTGCTCGGTATAAATCCTTTTTATAACGCGTCCTGAAAACCTGTTAAAATGTTAAAGGCTTATTTCGAGGAAGAGTCAAATTTTAAATTAAAAGTCACGTTTTTCACGAAGAATATGGCAGCATATTTTTCATCTCGTACTTTAATGTAATTTGATAC